TTAATTATCGTGAAGGCAATTCAAAAAGGAACATCGAACGGATACTGAGGTGTAGGTGATGGAGCGCAGATGACTGACATATTTTAATAAAAATCAAATTAAAACGCAATACAAAATATTATGATAGCATCCATTCTCATTTACAATTGATTGATGACTCCGAATGCGCAAGCGATAAGCCATACCTTCGGCATGAAGTTAACGTCATGTCAGTCCGTAAAATCAAGCATCTGAATGCCGGCTTTTCGTGTTGCCCAGAAGAAGGGCGTAGCTCGGGAACACATTATGTTTGAGAAGGTATTGTCTAACCTTGAATGTCTATAATCTGGTTTTGTGGCAAATTAAGTGTGTGTGAGGCGAATAATGATTCCAGTGAACGAGCGACGTTCATTGATATATAAATATAAAAATAATTGAAATTAAATAGAAATAAAAATGAGGGGAGTGGCAGAACCATGAGCGAAGTTCTGTGTAACCCGCAGACGGATTTCACAAGGATTACACGAGTCCGGCCGTGCACGTGGTAGTAGGGTGATTAATAGGTTAAGATGACCATGGCAATGTCGGGCTGGGTTTAAATGCTTTAATCATAATTACGTTAACTAGTTTCAACACATTAGATGTGACGTCATCAGGTCACGATGATGTCATAGTCATTTTTACCCAATAAAAATCATAAATTAGATTTTTTTCCCATTTCGTTCCGTTTCCTCCCATTTCGTTCCCTTTTTCGTTCAGGAATTTACACACAACCTTTAAGATAAATGTGTTCGAACCGTGAAATCGTTAATTACATGTTACTACGGTTGAGTTTAGGTAGCAGTGTACAGTAGCGTACGGTGGCCAAGGGTGGTATGTTTATACAATGAATAAACCCTGTTATATTACTTGTATCAAAATTTAAAAAACCATCAGCACTAAAATTGGCATATACATGATGAAGTGGACTATGTGGGCTTCATAATTTAATAAAAAAAATCGAAGTTGGTTTGAGACTACAGTTTTGGGCATTTACAAATCTGTGTCTAAACAACAAAAGCTGGCTTTTCATATAGTCAATTTTTGTACTCAGCACATGTGTAAATATTGTGAAAAACCCACCGGAATGACCTATGCTAAAACGTGAGTATTTTTGTTACCGAGTAGGCGATATTTAATTTCAGAAAGGTTTTAAGAAAAAAATACAACTTGCGGGGGTCAATTTGTGGGTTAAAAATCATGATATTTTGCATTTTGTGGTGATTTTTTATATGATAAACATTGTTTTCATAAGTCCCAAATTTGGGGGAAAAAGTTTTTGAAAACAAAATATATTCAAAATGAAGTTCATAAATATGTATATATATGTAGGTGTGTTGTGCAGGTTGAATTCACTATCCATGTTTATCTGAGACATGCCCTTTATTTTTAGGATCAGGCCATTTCTACTGTACTCTGCTACATTAGGTAGAATGATAATAAACGGGACGTTGAACAAGGAAAAATTTAAACATATCTTTCTAATTTCCGCCATGTAGCATATGGTTAACGCATTTATAACATGTGTTACCTCATTAATTTACAGATCACGCGGAAATATTCCGGGAATATGTTTTTAATTCCAACCAATCGTTTCACCGTATTAGCTTAAGCTTTATTATGTTCATGTAAAACCCCAAACATCACAGACATTCCACTAAGTATATCCGGATATCTGATATACGGCCTATAATAGTTTCAAGTTTCATCAATTTAACGGCAAATATGAATATTTGTTTACGTTTTCTGACGGTGATCATTTTAATGAAGTGTATTGTGCTTTCAGATGAAGGGATTCGTTTTAATAAAACACACATACACTCACAAGAAAAATTTCAGTGCACCGGACTTGAATGTTTCGATTATTACACTGTAATCTCGTCAGTAATGCTAGCTCCGAAATGAAAAAGCTGCCGAGAAAACTTACCTTAACATGTTATTATGCCTATGATAATTCAATAGCATACGCAGTTACATTAAGTTCATACACGTACACACTCAGACAGTAACTATATATACCCATTACATTTAAACAATAGCTAATTCATGGACTTGCAAAGGTAAAGTTTGTACTCAAACAATGTAAAGATCATACATGCACAGGTTAAGTTGATACATGTACACACAGGTTCAGTTGATACATGTACACACAGGTTAAGTTCATACATACACAGGTACGTTCATACATACACAGGTATAACGTTCATACATACACATGTAACGTTCATACACAAGTAACGTTCATACATACATACAATGTACGTAAAGTTAGTACACACAGATAAATCTCGTCAATAAATTGTTAGTGTTCATACATACATGGTAAAATCAATTGCAATTGGCCAATAAAACGTCGAAATACAGTTCTGAATATGTATGGAATACACATCCTTGGTGTTATTTTTATGGACTGCTGTGCGTGTCAGCTCGCACACATGACGTCAGACCTCCGTGTCCGGGGTGTTACCACCATCTTGGGTAATCTCCTTATCAAACTTACTTGAAATACACCATGTACAAGATAACTATTAAATGTGTATGAAATATCCGAAATCAATGACCCATCATCCATGCTGCACGAGCGGTTTCTCTTTCATTCATGTCCGGCATAATACGAAGAATGTACGTGCTTTAGGAATCCATACAAAATCCTCACAACACGGGAGTATTGAATACACCTGCGACTCGGGTGTGCAGAAGGGACTAGGGCGGACGGGGATGGGGGTTGCGGAGGGATGGGGGTAGTGGTAAGGGCCCCACACTATACTGACAGATTAAGGAGAGGATAAGTGATTGAGTATCAGGATGAGTAATTAAAACTAGAGTATAAAGGATATTCTTCAAATGTTTCTTGATGAAAAACATTTAAGTTTCACGCATGGGATGAATGTTTCGATATTTTCATTGTAATTATATAAATACACTGTTAATCGGTATACCTATTGTTTTACTTACGGTAAATTCTGGAGTGTTGCTGCTGTGTGTCTGTGAAAAACCCCACAAAGATTTCCTTCGACTTAGCAAGAAAATGTACGAGTTAATAAAATATGGATGTTTTCATAAGAGTACCTTATGATTATTTCTAGCCTTTTTTATTGCGTATGTATCTCAAAAAAACTGTTTGCTGTTTATGAATATCCATATAATCGATATTGACTATATCATACCTGAATTTATATATATGGATTTAACCTCAGATCGAAAAATGTCATCTTAGGCAATTTAATATAGTTTTCTATTTTTTGTTATTTTTGTGTTTGGTGTTGGCTACTTCAGCACTCAAGTAGCTGGTTACTGAAGAAAAACGCTGAACTCTCGTTATACAATCAGAGTTACCTCCCTTTGCCCACACACGGATTTTATTCTGACTGTAGGACTTAAACCAATCCTCTGCTGTCAGCTCAATACGGTTTGAACAAATTCTGACTAGGGCATGGACATTTGAATAACATTAATCAATAATAGTTGAGGTGATGGAAATAAATTATACTTGAATTTCCCAATTAGAGTATTTAGTGTCCACAACATTAATTTGATAATTGATTATCAGAAAGTATATTTATATATGTATATTTCACGACGGTTTGATAATAAAATTGGTTCTCTATAATTATAGAATATCGGTTGGTAAACATGCAAGTAATAAATTAACAAAAAAAAACAAACATACAAAAAATTAAACAACTGAAACGGCTGACACATGCTATACATCCATCTACAATAATTTCTGCTTGAGACATATTTTTGTTTAATATGTAGCAATTAACATGTTTTTAACATTTGCATTTATAACTGGGTCTGTTTCAGGATCCAGCCTGGTCTAGTGTTCCATGTACACTGTACTTCCATAGTGTATTACATTGTATTTCGTATATTTTTTCTCTCTCGGTTGTTTGTATTAAGTTAAACAGAATTTCAAGGAGAATAATTGCTAAGGCGATTAAATATGTGGCCAACCCGTTCGTACAATTTTGAAAACCATATATTCAAACTGACGCTAAGAGTCCAAGTCTCCAAATGTGTTTAAAATTTTGCAAGTCAAAATGTTTCCCCATTGTTTACAATAACATTATGCAAGTTTATAAAAAATGAGTCTTAATGATTTTCTCTAATTAAGATATTGATTTTGAAATTATTGAATAGAAAAAACTCCGGATAAATCAAATGTTCAAGTTCATTGCTTCATTGAACAGGTTGATTTCCTCCATAACTATACTTGCAAAACTGTGTAAGTGACTAAAAGTTAGTTTTGATACCTGGCTATATATACATGTACGGAGTTTATTTGCTTTTCTGTTTTAGCTAACACATATTACACGTGGTAACATTTAGATCAAGCACGATTTGACTATAACTTGCTATCAAATTGTGTTGGTGTAAACATGCTTGTTTACCTTTTAATAGGTAAACAATAAGTGATAAACAAAGTCAATAGTAACAATCAATAAAACTTTTTACTCATTCATTGTTTGTGGACTTCTTTTGAAAAAACAGCTACAAAATTAAAAGAAAAGTAGTCTCGTTCAATCAAACGCTTGATCACTTGTAATTCTCTGTTCGGCGTAGCTTGCCCAACAAAAAGAGTCTGTTTGAACGAGACTAGAAGTAATGTAGCCTGAAGCGTTGATACAATATTTTAAATATATGTTTAAACTTGTTTCTAAACCTTCTGCAATTTTCGTTATTTGTGAAATGATACACAGTGGACATCGATAACCAAACCATCTTTGTGCTCAGCAAACGTAGAGCACTGTGAGACACTTTAAAAGCTGGGATGATTTTGTATCAAAAATACATACTTTCCATTAATAACATTGGCTGATAATGAGATTAATGGTAGCTTGAAAAACCACGACTTGACTTCTTACAATATGTATCGTCACTATTTTATGTCTTGATTTCGTGTCATTAATTGTTATGTTTTTCATTTGTGTTTTTGTTGTTGTTACCATCTTGATCACTACTTCCGTTTCTATTTTTAGATAACGTTACCATGGTAGCAGTGGAAGCCGTGGATGGACTCTGGACGACGTGCATCACTAGCAAAATTCCCATGTACAGTGCTCAACTCAACTCCTGTGATACTTTAGTAGCTGGTATGTAAGCCCTATATTTATTACATACTGCAAGGCATTTACCTTTCGCGTATATTTCTTTTCTCGTTGTTTTTTCATCCGAACAATACATTCGTAAGATTTGAAATCGCGAAAGAAAAAAAACCTTTTAATGTTAAAAATTCATATGTGTCTGTAAGAAACATTAAGCATTTCTATTTCCTATCGTCTCTCTTCGTAAAATAACGTTAAACCAAAGGTGTCGCGATAAAGAAAGAGTTTGCGTAAATAAAGGATTCACATAATGTTAATGGTTTGCAGTATCTATAATGATCAATTCTTGTGATACTGACGATCACATTTGCAATCCATGTAGAACGAACTGTTATCGAGGATAGGCGTGATATGGATTTTTGTTTATCCCATAGCTTCCCGTACCATGACCGAATTATTTTTCTTGCTTTGACTTATTTCGTCTGATTAATTCGAATGGAATCGAAAACCAAAACGGAATAAAAACCTTCTAGTGTCATTTTGCTCCATGGTAACGGGATGCATCGATTTTCCTTATTCGACGTTGCATTGTCCGTCGTCTTTATTTAATTCCAGTGACGGGAGACGAAAGTATTGAACATCTGGGATTATCCTGATGTTTATTTCGTCGAATATATCACACACCTATAGATATCAACTATCGCTTGGAGTTAAAATGATTTCTTACGTACACTGTATATATCTTCTTTTTACATATTCCTCCGTTTAGGAAGCAGGGATCACCCAGTACAGCTCATATATCGGGCTAGAAATGGCTTTTCCTAGGTGCTTATTTCGATAATTCCACTCGTTATAAATCTCCATAGGGGAGAAGGCGATTTTCAAATCTGCAAAATATCATGAGAAACGTTTTTAGAAACTTGAACGGACTTAAAATTCGTTTAAGCTATTCAAACGATGAAATAAGAGTTGTATCATAATGATATGTTTTGCATACTCTGCACACTTTTCATAAAAAATAAAATGATGTAGTTCACGTACGTACCATTTTATAACATCAACGCGATAGTGTTCCAGTGTTACTTGAAACTCAACCAGATGATATGGCACAAAAGTTTTGAAGACACCAACGAGGTTTTGAAATCTCACCCCCATATATATGGAGCGAAAAAAAAACACCTTTCAAGTAACAAAAGTATTTTAATCTGGGTTTACCGACAAAGTTACTAAATACCAACGATCAGTAAGACTTTGAAAAATAAAACAAACAAAAATTGCGAAATATAAGTTATCTAATGGAAAAGCAGTACTTCAAGTGTTTAAAATTTAGTTTTAAAAGTGTTTACTTAGTACCACCAATTTTAAAATATTCAGTCAGAAGTAATTTTTTTCAAAATCTATTTTTTAATCGCATTATAATGGACATGCCAGAGGTTGCATCATGGACTTATCCTTGAAACAAACATATTCATGTCCGTTTTTGAGGATTTGCTCTGTTTCCCGAATCCAAAGAAATTATCATACTGTATAGTTAATTCATTATTCACTATTTTTAGACTAAACATTATTTTTCCTTTTTTTTTTTTTTATCTTATATAGTGTTGTAATTTTGGTTACTATAGTGTTATCAAGTCACGAATGCTAAAAGCGCATATTTTTATAAGAGTTACTTCCCTTATTATATAGAAACCGGTCAAATGATGTACATTTTGTTATCTAAGTGGTTACATGTTACATCAAACACACGCATTGCGTAATTTATCATATTTTGGAAAAAATAGTATTATATTTAATTATATGTTCTCAGACAAAATAAAAATGTACGAAAACATATATTTTGTGGAGGTATTTTGTATTCATGTAAAACAATTGCTTATTAAATCTACATTACGTATGCAACGTCATGTCAGTTACATTCCTGCGATTCATAAGCTTTTGTAAGTACACACTTTATTTCATTTTGTTTTCATTTTCCATGCAATTTGAACGAATTCACGAATGTTCCAACATAAACAGGATATGGAAACAAGCTTAGAGCTAATATTAATCCACATCCTTCAATTTGAAATTACAAAATCGAGATTGACAGCATGCTAACATTACGTCGTAAAACATTTTTCAATATGGTTTGAGTATTAGCTATATAAAAATAAATGCTAATGCTGAATCGTTGTGAGCCTACTTGAGATTGTTTGTGATAGGGAGATAGAGATGTTGGGGAGTGGGGAAGTGGTGGGTGCTCATGGGAGACTACAGGTATAACCTATATACCGATTCTTATTCAGATTTAAATACTTCAAATTCACAAATTATATCAAGAAACAATTCCAAAAACAATACTTAGATTATATTCTCAAAAATCGCTGAATTATAACAAGATTGCATTATATTTCCTTGCCGTTCTATATATATATTTCTCTTCGGAGTATGACATAATGTACAGAAGCTAATCCAAGGGAGGTAACCCTGACGATTTTGGTCTTTAATTCTGTCATTACTGCTCTTCATTTACACAGATGTACGTGATAATATTTATAATGGATTTTTTTCACACTATCTTATTCGTGTAAATATAAGTGACATCTTTAAAATTACAAATTGTACGAGATTATCAAAATTGTTTATATTTTTTTCTCAAATCCCAAAATATCAGGGGTGGCTGGAATTACCCGGGGCCAAATTTGCTCGGTCTCCCCTACTTTTGAATATATAATACTGTTTTATCACAGAAAAGAAGAAGATTTTAACAAAATTCACATACAGTTATACAATTTAAAAGCATCATTAGTTTACTGTTTGTATATAGAACATGTGAAATAGAACATTCAGAGGCACAATATGGGTTCAAAAAGGGGAGGTAATCCATTATATTTACCTATCACTGTTATGTTAATTGTTTAGAAGACAGTGCAAATACCATTGTTATGTTCTTGCGTGAGTAAAGAGAGCGACAACGCACAGCCATTGTTCCAAATTCTAGACTTACTTTTAGTTATCTTCTGGAACTGAAAAATTACAGGTATTTTGGGGTTAACACTAAAGTTCGGACTGTAAACCTAACTAAACGGTTTTCACTACACCATGTCGTAGGTTTCTGAGTGATTTGAAGGCCCGACAAAGTCCCTTGCGCATATCGGCGTTGTTGGGAGGGATCCTCACAGTATCCTCACACACTACTTTACTACTGCACTTATATACCTATCACAGTAGTGCTGAAACTGACATGTTTTTTTTTAAGTTGACAGTAAACAGTGTAAAATAAATATGTGTGTCTCCGTCAGTTTTATTTACATGTTCCATTAAGGTAATAGGTTTGTGTCACCATTTCTCAGTAGCATATTTTCAAATGTTGTAGTTAAATTGCTTTGAATTAAAGAAAAAAAATTGTCACAAAAAAATATAGGTTGTTAGAATTTTAAGGATTTTAAATTGAAATTTATGTAAAAAGGAGTGAATTTTGAAAGACACAATTTTTTGCAAAATAATGTCAATGCAAATGATACTGCCATATATTAGTATTGCATTAATGTATATCAATTCAATAAATGCTGAAATTGTGTAAAATAAATTATCGATAAAGGATTAAAACTTGACATTTTATAATAATCGCATGTAAAAGTTATCTTCCTTGAAAAACTTCACAGCAGTGAAATAGGTTGCCGGTTTCCTGAAGTACAGAAAAATGGACACATGTGACTCATTGATAAAAAAACCCCACAGAATTCATGCCTGGATTGCATTGAAATACTTTAATATTGAGAGTACACACTGTTCTTTCAATAATAAACATACGATATTCATCAGTTTAAGATTAAACAATGGACTCATTAGAATATGCGGAAATTGTGGTACTGTCTCCCTACATTGGATTTTCAACTAGCGATGTACTTCCCATTTCCGTATAGAGATATATATTTTCTAAATGTGTCAGAATGATGCATATAAACAGAGTAGAAATTGCGCTACATTTCGTTTAGGAAAATGACAGCATTTCAAACTTCTAATCTATCCTTATTTGCAGGTGAAAAAAATTCCAAAAAGTACAGATCATACAACTTTTGTTGTGTCATCTTAAATGCACCATTGTTATTTTTATCCCGAACATTGTATGTAGGACATTATAACACCAGATAGATTTCCTCATTTACATTTCGTATCATGAAAATACGACATGGCACAATTCCTTTCTCTGTATCATAGGGACCTGATAATCTGTCTGTCACCTGCCGAAACCCGTGGTGTGATTGGCTTGAGGTGCAGCCAGTTTCCCCCTAAAATAGCCAGCCAATCAACACGGCACGTGGCTGACGTCAACCTCATGAATATGCAAAAAATTGGATCTATGCGCGCGAACAGTTTTGAAACTCGGACATGGCGTGTGATTTTGGAGGAAACGGAGTTCATGTCCGCGGAAGGAGAATACATTTTACGAGTATATATTAGGTTTTTAAAAGAAAAACATTCCATCTTTCCAACGATGCTAGGCATTTTTTCGTACATTAACTAGAAATGCAAGAAAGTTAGGTGGGATCGAATTTTCGACATCGATAACTTTCTACCTTCTCGTTTTTGTTTTACCGAAAGTCGATCTAAACCCCTAAATAGTTTAGGTCCAAATATAGCTATACAAATTCTTAGGTCCCTACATGTGCTCGGTATTAAACTTGTACAACGTTCTACATTTCATAACAGGGTTATTTGTGGACAATCTACAGAAAGGCATGGGATTTATTGTTTTAAAAAATCAGTGTCATCGTTCACTGCCATTAATATATTTCCTTCTGCCGTCTTCTTTTATCATTCCACCGCCTTCCAGGTTTTTTTACAAGAAAAGTAAAACAAATATAAATACACAAATATTCCAGAACCAAGGTCAAGGTCGTAACTGCTTCAAAAGTAAGACAAAAAATGGCATCAATTTACTGGCTTCCCATTGTTTGAGGTGATTTTAGCTTTATATAAGTTTTCAGTATACACATTCGTTTACGATCATGCGATTCAGGGACGCGTATTCAACAAGCTTAAGATTGCTTGCTCTTAAAATTGAA